GGGTTGAATTTTACTTCTTTTTTTTCTTTTTTGGAAACCGGGTTTGGCTGAGAATTCATTTCATTTAAAACTTCAGTGAGCAAATTACGTATTTCATTTCTATTTTAACACAGAGCAGGCATGTCAATCCATCCATTCATCGGCGGTAATCATGTGACACGATCCACGTCTTCCCGTTTTTCCATGGCTTTTCTAACGTGAAATCTTGCCGGCTCTACGACCCTCGCTGCGTGAACATGGGACTTCGAGATTTCAGGACAATGAACCATACGAAAGCCATAGGGACTTCTACTCTCTCACTGAACATGTCTGAGCGACCTTGTCACTGTGCAGCTACCGTAGAATATCGTGGAAATGAGCCTCCGGCATGCAAAATGGGTAGCTTGAGATCGGCGCATCGAGGGCTGTAATGCTGCTAGCCCGGCCGGTCCTTCAGGCAGGCGGCAGCGGCAGCCAAATCATGGTACTCGAATATAAGCCAACCCCCCTCCCCCCCACGTTCGCACATTATTTCTTCGAAAAAAAAAAACATCGCCTTAGATTCGAGTATATATGGTAATTTGATGAAACCAAAAACACAATGTTTCAGACATGTTTACGGGCATGGGACTTGAATGCATGGCTGTTGCACTTTGCAGCTAAATTTGGGTGCTGTTGCGCAGTATGGTGCTGATAAACGAGTTAGGCGCAACAAAGATGGTTCGGTACAGGATGGCGCAGGAAAACAACTTAGCCACAGAATGGTCCAAATAGCGCAGCTGTTTCACTCATGCACTTTTTTACTGCTGTGAAACCACTTTTATAGGAGGTTACATGCAAATTAAAAGGACCTGCAACACTTCTTCAGCATGGTCAGAAAACGCTGCCACTCGGTAGTCGAGGCTCGCAATAACACGCGAGCAAAATATTATAGCGCAGCACGTGGCCTGTAATTTAGAATAAATGATCAAAGTCGGCTAAAACTTGCTTTTTCCTTTCTCGAAAAATCATGGAAGATGCTCAAAAATCACTCGTAGAGGGCCTTCTGTCAGCAATTGGCTGATTTTAACACAGTGCCCTCGGTTATTACAGAGATCACCACGGGAGGCTGCGAAATGTCAACGCGTGCGCATGCGATCACACTAAATAGGTCGCACATTCAAAGAACAAAAAACAAAAAAGTGTTCAAGGTCACAAGGGGGGTGTGACACATTTTTGTTGCCCATGCCGTCCCCTCCTGCTTAGCTTCTAGCGCTTTTGTCAGGACGAGAGTAGAGAGAACACGATTGCAGTGTGTGACAAATCTTTATAAGTCCACTCGTACTCAGATACCTCAAATTTTTGCGGCGTTGAATTCATGAGGCAATAAGATCTTTCAGCAAAACCATTCCATGGTTATTGAAAAAGTGATGCAGAGCCCCTTTATTATACACTTAGGCAGGTGCTTTCATGCTTAGCGTCCCGCTACTACCTTTACAGGAGGTTACATGCAGGTTAATATACACTTTGTTATCTACTGCAGTGAAGCTACCTTTACAAAGTGTTACATGCGGACTAATATCCCCTTCAGGCGCAACGTCCACATTTGTGGACGCCAAGTTCACACCTAGGTGTTTCAAAAATAGGTCTTGAATCTCGCGCGGAAACAATGCTCCCGCAACCTCTGCATCTTGCTGCAAGGACGCGTGGCGCCATCTCTTGCACCTGGTTCAAAATACCATCGTAAACAAAAATCAAAATGAACGCCTCCACTTTCTATGGCGGGACGCGTAAGTGGCTCTGATGTTTTTATCGTTTACTTCGTACCTTTTTAGCTGGTGTGAAATTTTGCATTTGTCAGTAATAACTAAAATATCCTGCATGCCTTTTAACAATATTTTGGCAATAGGAAATCATTTGTAATGACGGAAAGGTTCAGCTAAATTTCGCGTCCACGAACGTGGACACTGCGCTTCAGTGCCTCCTTTGTTGAAAGGCTGCTATTTCTCTGTGTTTCACTTCCGGCAGCATCAAATGATGTTTACGTTAATTGTTTTTGTCACCCGGAGTTCAAGATCATGCATCGAGACGACAAAAAGTCGACGATGAAACAGCAGAAGACGTCCTTAAAAAATAGCCAATGGAGATGTTTCCGATGGAGACTTTTCGGACGACGAAAAGGAGGAAGAGAATGAAGAGAACACAAAAGTTGCGTTTTGTTTGAAAAACCATTAGCCTTTTAGTTAAGATCCTGCCGCCCGGTTCTTGGCCGATCCCCCTTCGTGGGTGTGCGCCAGACTATCAAGGATCATCATCATCATCATCACCACCATCAAGTTGGCATTACACTGCCAAACTGTAGTATTTCTTGCACAAATATCTAAAGGTACATTGTTTCTATGTTTAACTGTTGGTTTCAGCCTGCCAATGGCCAGGTGTGCCCATCGATGTCCTCCTCAGCACAGCCTTCAACATCACAAACCCCAGTCACAAATTTGAAAGAGCCTGCGGCATCCAAGAACTTTGAGATCAAGTGGACAAAGAAAGAGTTTGCCCCAAGGGATGTTGAGTGCGACTACAATCCGGAAACAGCGTCAGCGCCTGAGCAGCCACTGGTGTACTTCAGCAAGTATTTCACCGATGACCTTTTCCAAGATTTTGCTGAATTCACAAACAGGTATGTCCTGCAGAGAGACGGCACCGTGTTAGCCACAACAAAAGAAGAGATCAAAGTGTTTTTCGGGATTCTCATGCTAATGGGTGTTCTGAAGTACCCACGCGTCAGAATGTACTAGCAAGCTGCCACGAGAATTCCCGCCATAGCGGATGCGATGGGTGTGAAGAGGTTCTTCAAAATCAGAGGCGCCCTTCACATAACTGACGCTAATGCAGAACGGGACCCAAACAGCCTCGACAAGTTTTGGAAAGTTAGGCCTTGTTAGAAGCTGTGAGAGGCCGATGCTTACAGCTTGTTTCTTTGGAAAAAAATAGTATCGATGAGCAGATGGTGCCATTTACGGGGCGTATTGCGGCAAAGCAATTTGTAAAGAGAAAACCAAACCCTGAAGGGGTAAAGGTTTTCGTGCGCTGCAGCTTTGATGGGCTAGCACATGACTTTGAGCTTTACCGAGGGAAGAGCACAGGGGTGAGTAAAGAGCATTCTCACCTTAGACTTGGTGGTTCTGTCGTAATGCGCCTTCTTGAACACCTCCCGAAGGCACAGAACATCAAGTGCTACATGGATAACTATTTCACATCAGTGAAACTGCTTCTGGAGTTGAAAGAGATCGGTTTTTTGGCTAGTGGCACAATTAGAGAAAACCGCTTGGCAGGTTGCGTTCTGAAAACTGACAAAGAAATGAAGAAGGAAGGGCGTGGAAGCTACGATGAAAGGGTTTCCGTGAACGGCGACGTTGCTCTTGTCCGTTGGCAAGACAATGGCGTGGTCAACATGGCCTCTACTCACCTAGGAGTCGGAAACGTTGGCGCGGTAAGAAGATGGAGCGAAGCTTCAAAGGCCAACGTCGACATCGAATGTCCATAGGTAATTCTAGACTACAACAAATACATGGGTAGAGTGGACAAACTAGACTTCATCATGCCCCTCTACCCAATGAGGACACGAACCAGCAAGTGGCCTTTGAGAGTGATATCCCACTTTGCTTCTTATGCCCTCTGTAACAGTTGGCTAGAGTACATCAGAGATGCCAATGCAGAAGGGTTGCTAAAAAAAGACACAATGGATAAGGTGGCATTTCAAAGAGATGTCGCAAGTTGCCTGCTGAGCGTCAACAAGCCCCAGAAAAAGCGTGGGCGACCAAGCAGTGAGAAACCCCAGGTGATGAAAAGAAAGGCACCCAATGCGTCACCCCTGCCAGGGAGCACTGTTCGCTATGACGGCATCCAGCACTGGCCACAGCAAATGAACATACCCAACGCACAACGCTGCAGGAGGGAGGGATGCTCATCCAAGAGCCGCGTCCGCTGCAGGAAGTGTGACATTTTTCTTTGCCTGACATCGCAGAATGACTGCTTTTACGTCTTTCACACTAAATAGACTTTTTCTGGTAACTTCTCCCAACATTACTTTCAAAGAAGTTATTTTGAATTTAAATGGAAAGCGTGTTTTCTTCTTTGTCGCCTTTCACGAATATTACTGCTTTCAGGCGCAATGTCCACAAATGTGGACGCTGAGCAAAAATTGAACCAATAAACATATTTTGCATTTGTTTCGAGTTTCTTACTTTAAAAGGCTTAAATATTGAAATTATGAACAAAAATTTTTTTTCACGTTGCCAGATTTAATTTGCGCCTGAAGGGGATATACATAGATTAATTCATTTCAAGTATACAAAACTTTCAATGATTTAAATTCGTAACAAAGCAAATTTATATACAGTAATATTTGTTCATACTGAAACATTTGCACAAGCCTAGTTAGTCAACAAAGCGAATTTATATACAGTAATATTTGTTCATACTGAAACATTTGCACAAGCCTAGTTAGTCAATAGTAGCTGTAGTTTTGTTGCTGCTTTCTGAACGCATGGCACCTGCATTCATAACTTGATCTGCTTTCACTCCACGGGTGTTGGATGCATGTGACCTTTCACCACGCTCACACATAATGATATCGAAAGCAATCAGGGGCTCATTCTCCGAGATTTTGGCACGTGATAAGTCCAGCTATGACACTCTGTGCACTGTCTACATGCACCTCTGTTGTCGGCAAGCTGCTGTGGGCTGTTGCTCGACTCGGAAGAGTATTCAGAACATCCAAATTTTGGCTTATTGGGCACAAAAAAAATCACCTGGGGAATTTTACAAATCTGTATAAGACTAAAATTTATATAAGCCACAATTTTATCAAAGAGATCCTACTGTATAAGCTTATTTCTCAATTTTATTTTTATCCATGATTAAGCAATGCACCTACACAAATAATATATATTTGCTGTCAATTTACGATCCCTAACAAGCCTTTTCGGGAACAGATCACTGAGAAAATATCATAAAAATGCCCCCTCTTGGAGTTTGCTCACCTTTTCTGAAACTGAACGGGCATTTTCAGCCAGCTCTCGCTGTGTGTAGATGTCCCCAGGGCTGCTCTGGCAAGCACCGGCTGATTTGGTCAGACTGATGCACGCTTTGCCCAAGTCCTGCACTCCTGCACGAATGCGCCCAGGAACCTGCATGGGAAACGAGACGCTGCTACTGCAAAGAAAGGTCTGTGTGCCCCGATTTGCTCACCTAATTAGCCTAGCGTTATTAGATACAGCAAGCAGGTTTCCCTTTGGCCTAGTTTGAATGTAAAATTTTCTGCATGAATTGGAGTTCAAACCAGAAGCGACCACAAAGAGGAGACAAACACAGACAACACAGACGTAGAGAGAGCCTAGTTATGCTGGGTTTTGCAGAGCAAAAGCTAACTAAGGCTATGTTGCACCTGACATGGTAAAAAAAATAAAAGCCCCATAGCAACAACACTGTGGCCATGACTTTGAAATGCCATAAAAGCCCGCGTATAGCCTGGGGCTTTTTCTAGATTGTAGGGTATAAAATTTAGATCCTGTACAATATGCGGGTCCCAAGAATTTTCGGCCGAAATTCGGTTTTGGTTTTGGCATAGCCTGATGCTATCGTCATCAGGTGTTTGCAGGCTTATGTGCTAGATGCTAGGTTAGCAGCCGTAGCAGGCGTGAAACAGTGGCCAGTGGCCTTTGCTTCAACTGGGCACCCATAACGACAGCCAAGATATTGTTCCCATCATTTTATGCCATGACAGCACCGCGCAGGCAGTACTCTGCTGCTTTAAAAAGGAAAGTTATCGCTGCTGCTGAAACCATTGGCAACTATGCCACAGAGCGGCAGTTCAGAGTCCATGAGTAGAGTTTTAGCGGTTGGCGGAAGCAGAAGGACGCCCTCTTTGCTTGCAGTGGCCAGCGAAGAAGTTTCTGCGGACCAAAAAATGGAGCGTTTCCTAACTTGGAAGCAGAACACACGGGCTTTGTGCGGGAGTAGCGATTTGCACATCTCGCTGTTAACATCACGCTCCTATGAGCATAGGCAAGGGAGATCACTCGACACAAAGACAGTCAGCTGGAGGATTTTCAAAGCGAGCAAGCATTGAGTGTCTTCCAGCATGCGCCGCGCTGGCAGCTCCCTACGTCAATCTCGCTGCCAAAGAGCTACCAAGAGGACTTTGTGAAGTTTCAAAAGTATGTGATTGCATTGCCAAAGGCTGTCCCCTTTCACCTGAGCCAGATCGGCAACAAGGATCAAACACCGGTCTACCTGAATATGCCTTTGGCGTTAACGGTGCATCAGAAAGGCTCTAGGCAAGTTATTGTGCGATCGGCTGAGAACGAAAAAACGCGGGTGACTATAATGTCCTGCACTGCAGACGGTCGCAAGCTACCACTCTACATGGTGTTCAAACGAAAGAACCCTACATAGTGTTCAAACGACAGACGTTGCAGAAGGGGGAGAAGTTCCCAAAAAATGTCGTCTTCCGCTGCCAGGACACGGGGTGGATGGATGAATCGCTAGTGCCTAACTGGATCAAGTCCGTTTGGTGTCCACAGCGCAGAGCACTGCTAGGGCTCCCTTCGATGCTTGTGCTTGACGAGTTCCGGTGTCAGGTGGCCAACTCCATAAGGCGGCTGCTGCACGACTCCCGCACCGAGCTCGTCGTCATCCCAGCAGAAATGACATCAGGCAGTTGCAGCCGCTTGATGCGTGCCTTAATAAGCCATTTAAGGACCATGTCAAGCGCCTATACGCAGAGTGGATGAGGTCTGGAGAACCAGAAGTGATCCCGGTTGGATGGCAGAAATGGGTCTTGCCAGCGATGCTGTGCTCGTTGATGGTCGAGGCTTGGGCCTGCATTTCTGAGGCGCTCGTTTGTCGCATGTTCAGAAAGTGTTCCATTTCGAACGTGCTTGATGACACTGAGGATGATGTGCTGTGGGAGAATTTCCGACAAGGGAGCTGGGGAAGAGTACGCGTGATGACGACAACAAATGAAGTGTGTCAATTAATGCATTTTTTGGTTTTACTCGGGCTACATTAGGGTGAAAAGTTTTTCTCACATTTGCTTTCCTCAAATTACACTTTGAACTATATGCAAGTCCGAGCAACAGTCGAATCTCATTAATTCGAACCTGCTTAATTCGAACTTCTGGTTAATTCGAACTCACGATGAAGTCCCGTCAAAGCTATGTGTATTCAAATGGACGAAAACGCCCGATAATTTGAACGCGCAAGCACTTGCAACGATTAATTCGAACATGCCACGCCTTGCAATGCTCTCAGCATCCCACCCAATCACGTGGCGGCACTTGTGACACCTCAACGCTGTGTGCGAAGGAAATGAAAAGGAGAGAAAAGGCTGCGGTGGAATGTTTTCTCTCTCTCAAACGCCAATCTTCGACACGCTCATGTCACGCTTGTCCCTCTTCCATCCCTGCCATGTAAGGACCCTTCTGTTTTCAATGCCGCGCACGGAGAGAGGAAAAAAAAAGCTGTCGCTGTGTTGAATGAATGTGGGGTTGAAGGGACGGTAAAAGGCAGTATCTTCTGCAGCTTTTGCTCCTTGGGGGAGCACGGCTTTGTGCCTTGAGGGGGGGGTGGAGGAGAGGTCTCACGCATCGGTGCCACGCTTCCCCTTTCCCGTCCCTGCCACGTAACCCTTCTTCTTTCAACAACGGGTGTGAAAAGAGCAAAAAAAAAAAAAAAACAGCTGCCGTGGAGTGTTGGTTTTATCTCAAATGCCAATCTGCTTCTCTCTGCGTGGAGACGCTCCTCCTTTCTCATCACGTGCTGGCCATGCTGCGGCTGCTACACAATCGTTGTTGTCGCCATCTTTAGAAAGTGGCGCTGGACATTTCTGCGCAACTTTTCTTGCCAGGAGAATGCTGAAGCCGAAGTAGAAATGCTTTGTAAGCTGCGTGCATACCCGCAGCACCTGGCCTGCGGCACGCATGTATTCCGCGGGTCGCTCTTCATCGCCAGCGTGCCGGCAGTGTGGTGATGACGAAATGCTGCAGCATATTATTTGCCCCTGCCATGACCTAGTCACACAGCGTTGCGTACTGGTGAGCCGCTATCGTCTGCTTGGACTACCAGCCACAACGATTGAAGACGCACTTTTTTCTGGTGCGCTCGAAGACGCAAGCCCTCCGAGCCTTCCTCAACTTCTGTGCGAGTGCGGACCTCGCCGCCTTATAGACAAATGCTTTTGCTCCGCACTTCTGACTGTGCTGACCAAGACGTTCTCTTGTCATGCCTTTCACTTTTTCTTTCTCTCCTCTCTTCTTCCTATCCACTTTACTTCCCCCTTCTCCCATCCCTAAAGGTGTGAGTTGTGCTTCCGCGACGGGAGGCAGAAAATAGCGTCATGTTATCTCTTACTCTATCATTAACCTCTCTCCCTGTGTGCAAAATTCATTGACTCGCTGCAAGGCAAACGTGTGCAGATGTGCATCACCGATTACTTCAATTAATAACGGATGTCCTGTGATTTGTGAATAAATGTAGGTCTTTTCAAACTTCCACCTCGTGTGTTAGCTCAATGCACATGCGCCACTGCATGGAGAGCCCTCTGTTTATTTAGCTCTCATTAATTTGAACTTCTTTTAATTCGAACAAATTTTCGGGCCCCTTCGAGTTTGTATTATCAACATTCGACTGTATATACGGGCTTTGATGGAACTGCCTAGTATCTACAAATGGGATCTAGTAAATGGTGGAGCGTGGTTGTAGAAAGGCCTAAGAGAACTCGCTGCATAAACACAACAATATAGATACATACATACATACATACATACATACATACATACATACATACATACACACACATTGTTACAAGTTGTTTGACATCATTCACAAAGAACACTCATGTTTAAAGGGAGAATCTGAATGACAGTGAATAATTACTGGCCTCTTACATGATTCTCTTGGCAACTTTTAGAAAGCATCATAGCTAAGCATATCAATTGTTGCTTAGAAAAGAACTCTTGAATTCAGAAGAGGCCTCTGGACTATCACAAAACTCATACAGACAATTCACAATTTCGCTAAGGCAATCAATCGATACCGGGGAGCCGATTGATGTAATAGCCATATATTTTGCCAAAGCCTTTGATAAGGTGCCCCAGAATAAGTTGATTTACTAGCTGAAACAGTCAGACTTACTACCACTGTTATAAAGTAGATTAAACATACTTGACCAATCGCAATCAGAAAGTAAGAATGGATGGTCATGCCTCAGACTCACTGGCATTGCTCTCAGAAGTTCTGCAGGGATATCTCGTGGCACCACTCTATTTTTGGTGCTATCCATGACATTTCGGCTATCATGGAGCTAGGTGTGCAACTTAAACTGTTCGCAAATGACTTTTTGTTTTATTATTCTACAGGATGAAACAAAGAAGATCAAGTTGAAATTAACAGCTCTTTACAACCCCATTGATCAAATGGTGCAAAAAATGGAATATGGAAATTAATTCTACTAAACAGAGATACACACATTACTACAAAGAAGTGCCGTATTTCGTTTTCATATACCGTTAATAGACAAGTGCTTCATAAATACGACTTGATTTGAATATCTAAGATTAATCATAAGGCAATGTTTATTCTGGAATGTACACATTATCAATGTTTGTTCAAAGGCATACGAGAGGCTACGTTTCCTGTGCAAAAAAACTAAAAGGTGCGACAGCTGATGCGAAACTTGCTGCACACAAGATCTTTGTAAGGTCAGTTCTTAAGTACGCATCGGAGGTATGGAGTCCTCATCAAACTTATCTAAAAAAAGCAACTAGATGGTACGATTTATATGCTCTCGGTATCAAAGGACTGAGTCAGTTACAGAAGTATTTTGTTATTCTGGTCTGCATCTGAAGCTAATATTTCAAATAAGAAGTTGTCAACTAAATATTAGCAAAGAAGTACACTTACTGCCATCAGGTAAACAAGAACTAACCACAACAGGGCCATCCAAGTGTACGAGACCAACAGGCTCAGATATTCTTTTTTTTTCTAATGTAATTGAAATGTGTGTGTTTTTGAACAGAATGATTTGTCAAAATTTGAACAGATCTGTAGGAGTCTACCGCTTGATCCCAATGCAAACAATGTTCCTTTTTTGTTTTTTGTTTTATAACGTCACCCTCTCTGTAAGGAC